TCACTGGAGGTGGGTTCTGACATTTCAAAATCCCACACCTGGCCTAATGTCTCTCTCTCTACCTGAGGTCATCAGATCAGGACATAAAGGTCTCAGCTACTTTCCCAGCGCTGTCCCTGCTTCCCACCATAATGACCGTGGAGGAAGCCTCTAAAACTGTAGGAAAGCCTTCAATTAATTCTTTTTTTTAAGGGTGGCCTTGGTCATGGTGTCTCCTACAGCAATAGAACCGTGACTGAGACAAGAGTCTACATGCTGCCCCTTCCCTGTCAAACCCAGGAACTCTGAGGGAGTCTCAGAAAGTTCCAGTGTCCAGGCACTGAGAGTTTCAGTGGGCTGCCCTAGAGCATGAGAGGGGTTTCCGGGGCACAAGGGGTGGAGCAAGGGCTGGGGTTGAATGTCACCTCCATCCCACCCAAATATATTGCTGGGGTCTTTTGTTGTTGTTGTTTTGGTTTTCAAGACAGGGTTTCTCTGTGTACTGACTGACCTGGAACTCACCAGGCTGGCCTCGAACTCACAAGAGCCACCTGCCTCTGCCTCCTGAGTGCTGAGATTAAAGGTGTGCACCACCACTGCCTGGCTGCCCTGCTTGGATGTTACTGCAGTGGCGCACTGAAGCATCTCTCCTCCAGCCTTCTGTTTTCCAGCTGTGCTTTGGAGTTACCTTGAAGAATTAAAGTTCTGGGCCCACTCTAGCTACTGACTCTAGGTGTTTTTGTGTGTTTTGTGTCGCTGGGGTTTCCCAGGGTTTCCTGTATACTGGTGAGTGCTCCATCACTGAGCCACATTCCCTAGCTGTCCATGACTCTGATTTTCCCCTTTGCTGTATGAACCAGTTTCCCCCGAGAGATTCCTACACAACTGTTCTTGAAGCCAATGGCTTTGGGGATCCTACTTAAACCAGCCTTTGCATATCCCACCCCACCTATTCCTGGTGCTGCAGTTCTTCCAGACTCCCCAAATTACTGTACTTTCTCTTTAAAGATGCTGTCTCCCTAAGTTCCAGCACTTGGCCTGTCAGACCAGACCTCTGGAACCCCAGCTTCCCACAGGGGATACCCGCAGCCTGCCTGCCTTCCCCTCCCCGGGTACTTCCACACACTTGGTTGTCTTGTAGCAGCACCAGGGTGTCCTGAGCATCCAACAGTTTAGAAAGTGCTGTGGTCCAGGGCAGGCTACCCTACCCTCTCTTAGGACTGGAGGGGGAGAGGGGGAGGATGAGTGGGGGAGTGGGAGAGAAGTGGGAGGAGGGGAGGAAGTGGAAAGTTTGATTGGTATTATTTATAAAGTAATAAAAAAATGTTCAACGTCAAAAAAAAGTGCTGTGGTCTGTCCACCCCATCCCCCACCACGCCAGCCAACGTGCTGGGAATAACATCTCACCCTAGATCTCCTGCAGTCTGAGGACAGGTAGCTCTTAATTCTACCCCCTTCACCCCGAGTATTGAAGAAGACACAGGAAGGGGCCTGCTCTTTGTCCCCTTTCCTGGAAGCCGCCCTTGCTGCTCCGTAAATCTCCTGTTTTCTCATTTAGCATCCTGCTGCTCTTTGCTTCACTTTTCTTCCCATGGGGCCTTGCTTTGGAGCCCAGGCTGGCCTTGAATTCCTGATTGCCTTTCTGCTAGGATGGCCAAGACGCAGTACAGAGCCTGGCTTCCATCTTTGTTTTTCCTCCCAAGTACTAACAAGGTCTCGCTCTGCTTAGCTTCCCAGATCAGGTGAGAGTGGGGGCATATTCAGGGCGATATGGCAGTAGATCTGTCTTTGTTGCTTCTGGTGGGTCCTACACCACGTCCAACAACTTCAGCCAGACATTCTGAACCAAAAATTTTCGGCAGAAGACAGCAAAAGGAGGAAAGAGGCGGCTGCAGAGCCAAGCGTCCCTTACGTGAAGACTACAGCTGAAATGGAGGAAGACGGCCCGTCTGCTCTACTTCTGAGGAGCCCAGTGAGGCTACTCCAGGAGCTGTAATTAAGTTCACCTCTAATTGGATAAGCGAGACCAGCCTGACATGTGAGAGAGTAATTAAGTCTCACTGGGGGCAGGACAAAGTCCCTGGGCAGCAGCATCTCCGGAATCCTCATTCACATTCTCTCTTTCTCCTCCTCCCTCTGTCTCTCCCTCCTTCTGATGTCCAAGAATGGGAAGGCAGAATGGCCCCAGCCCTGCCTTAGAATCTTTCCTGTCCCTACTCTCTGCCCCTCGCATCAAGGGCATGATCACTTGACAATACCTTGGACATAGCAGATGAATGTGGTATAAGACAAGAGAAGGCCAGGCCTCCCCTCTGTTCCGCCTTCTGCAAACTGGGCTGGGAAGAGGCTGGCTTTAATGCTACCGCATCGCCCACTGTTCTATCTCTGCTTAAGTCTAGCTCAGATCTCGGGTCCCGCTGGAGACTAGGGGAATAGGAGGGAGTCCTGGAGACAGAAACTTGAATGCTGGGTTTGCCTTGGCACACTGACTATGATCTCCCATAAATCACATAACCTCCCTGAGGCTCTGGTTTCTTATCTGCAAAATGGGCATAATGTTCCCCAGCACTAATAACCAACCCGCTTATGGTGGAAGGAGATGAGAGACAACCGTTGTGAGGGCACGTGGGAGCAAGCAGCTGTTAGCACCTTGCCAGAGGTGAAAAGTGCTTGAACGCCTAAAGGCAACTCAGCCGACCTTCCAGCCCAGAATGCGTCATCTGTCCACGAGGGGTGGGGTAATCATGGTTGAAATCTCCCTTTCACATAGCAAGGGAAGCCTTATCAAAAGAGGGACTTGAGCTCTTGAACTTAACTTAGCCACTACCAAGTATCAAGAGGATTGAGATTCCAATTGTCTGTGGAGGTCTGGGTCAGAGCCAAAGTCATGTGCCCAAGACTTGAGGCTAGACAGTGGAGGCAGGGTTGACTCTGCCTTTGGCTAAATCTTTTAGGACCAAGGAGAGACTCCCGGGTACTGAGTCCTCTGTCACTAGCAAGGTTCAAGCTCCAAGGCATCCTCTGTTAGCTCTTGTCCAAACTACGGTCCCTGGTCCCCATCCTCAGATGCTCACACTACACCTCTGAAGCTGTCACTCATGAATCTCCATCCTCTAAGGACTGTGCAGACCAGAAAGGCTTTTGACACCTTGGGGTTGGCTGGGTAATCTCCACGGCAGTCCCAGTGCCTCCATCTCTCTTTAAGCCAAACCAATCCTATCTGTCCCAAGCCCTGCTCCTGTGTCTCTCAAGTCCCTATGGGTGTGGACTCAAGCGTTTCTAGAACCTGTCCTCCGAAATGCCCACTGGGCACAGTATCGGCTCTGCGAAAGCACAAGTGGCTGGAGGATTCCTTTAGCTCCGTCTCCCAGGGAGCCGAGCTCAGAATGCCCATGGGGTGGGGGTGGGGGGCCGGGGGGAGCTGGTCTATGTGACCATGCTCTGTGATGGTTACTGTGCTTGAGCTCAGAGATTCCTCTTACTGTTACATAATCGAGGTTTTTTTTTCCCCTCCTTATTTTAGATCCTGGTACCATCTGTCCTGTTTTTCATGCATTGCTGACTCCGGGCTGGAGGTGAGCTCAGGCTTGGCCAGTCTGTTACCTTATCTGTAAAAGGAGATCTTGATCCCGCCCTGCCTGCCTGCCAGGGCAGCTGGACGGAGCAGGAGAGAGGTGTAACTGGCTGGGTAAGTGTGTCTGGCGCTGTACACAGGAGTCTGGTTGTTAACCTGGTTCTCCAAGCTGGGCGAAGGTGCTTGCTCACCTGTCCTAGGAGAGTGCCCACAGATTTGCAGAGCAGGGTTGAAACACAGGAAGTGAACAGACCTCGCCACGGGAGCCTCAAGACTCCCTGCCATAGGCCGCAGGGGCACAGCCCTAGCAGTATGTGACAGGCAAGGCCAGGTTGTCTTGTTACCTGCTCACGTGGCCTCCTGGCCTTGTGGTGGCGGTGGAATGTGAAACTCGGCACAGGTTGACTTCACAGACAGAAAAGCCTTGTAAAAACCTGTCCATTTCCAGCCATCAAAGGTGGGTTCATGCCAGCTGCATCAGGCCAGAGGTCCCAGTTGAAGTCCTAGGTGCGGGCTAAGTCCAACCTGAGTCCCATCCTTATCCTCCCCACCCCCACACTAAGGTTTGTCCAAAATGCTTTCCTTCCTTCTGCCTGTGGAACTGAGGTTCAAAGGCACAACCACAGGTTTGGGCGAATGGGAGCCAGCAATACTGCAAGGCCATCTCCCTGCCTTAAAGGACATGAGAAGGCGTCCATAAGACAAAGAATGTCAGGCTCTTGGCTATACTGGTCAGTTTGGCAGTTATAAAAACATGCCAGTAATTGAGGATTAAGCAATAAAATACATGTTCACATAACTCTGGAGGCTGGACGTTCTGTCCCTACCCCCTGATGCTGGGCGAGTCACCCTCCTCTTTGGGGCCTCAGTTATATGACCTATAAAATGGGAACACTCTGTGATCTGCCCACCTCACCTGTCTCATAAAGATCAAAGGCAATCCTGTGCCCAAGCTGGACGGTAATTGCAACAAGGGAAGGGGTTGCGGGTTGGTTTGAATCACCACCGAGATTATGTGGAGGGAAGGTACACTGGGGTTTTCTTTTCTGAGACAGGGGTCTTACTGTGTAGTCCAGGCTGGCTTGGAACTCCCTATGTAGACCAGGCTTATCTTGAGCTCACAGAGATCAGCCTGCTTCTTCTGCCTAACGAGCGCCGGGATTAAAAGAGTGTCCGGGATTAAAAGAGTGTGCGGCCACGCCTGGTAGCCTCAGGCTTTTCAGTTACAGAGAATGCGGAGGAAAACGAAGGGCTAGCAAGACAGCGTAATCCTAAGTAAAATCAATCACAAGAGCCCGACCAGGCAGTCCTCTTTTGTAGCTTAAGATGCCGGTGGAGATTCTCCAGCATCAGTTTATTTCTACTCCGGACTCAAGTATGTGCCACCTCTAATCCCCTTCTAGTTCCCAGTGATGGATGGATACAGACGTGCAACTCCAGGCCACTCTCCAAGTGTTACAACCAATCTCTTTATTAAGCACGAAAACAAATTCTCCAAGATGTAAAAATGCCACCCGAAGGCTCCAGCTGGAGACAGGCACTGCAGTACAAAAGAGGCTCGCTGCTGTGAGGGAGCCCTCTGGACCCTGAGGCCCCGCCTCCCTCTTTCCTTCCCTCCCAGGCCCGGTCTTGCCTGAAGACGGGCTGGAACGGGGTACCCCTGATTGAATCCGGAGCGGTCAAAAGCCCAAAAGGCAAGCTGCATTCGCTCTCTGTGGAACCCTCTTTGCTTCAGCAAGGCTGCTCCCGGCAGCCTGGTCTAGCTACCTGGGTTCCTTTGCTCTCTCCTGGCACTGGGCTCCGGGTTCAGGCCAGACAACTGCTTAGGAGTGCAAGGATCACCGTTTCTAAAGGGGCTTTGCTTCTTTCTTTGTTCCCAGGCAGTGTCCAAGTAGGTGGTCAAAGGCTCTTGGAGGACCTCAAGCTTGTGTGGAAGGAAAAAAAAAAACGCCTGAGCGGACTCCAGCTGAGGAGGCATAGCTCCCTCTGGTGGCAGGTCGAGATTTTGCCGCAAAAGGCACAAATCATTGTGAAGAGCCTGCACTCCCTGGCTCACGGCAGTACTTGGTTTGGATCCAAATACCCAGACCCTGACCAACTGCAGGGACAGACGGCCTTCAAATGCAAACCTTCCTGATTGGCAACACAGACTGCCTAGCAGTGTCTCAGCTTAATTAAAAAAATGTTTACAGTAGGAAGGAGAGGTGACCACCCTGAAATCCTGTGGAGCAGGTGTGTGTGTGTGTGTGTGTGTGTGTGTGTGTGTGTGTGTGTGAGTGTGTGTGTGCGTGCGTGCGTGCGTGCGCGCGCTTACATGCACCACATAAGCCCATGAGACAAGTAGGTGCCCAGACCCATTGCTGGGGAGATGTCTCAGTGCCCAGCCTTGGCACTGCTAATTTGTCTACAGCCCCAAGGATAGCACCAATCCTGTCCAAGGCGAAACCAAACCATACGCCTAGGCAAAGAGCACCTCTGCCCAGACCCAACCTGAGTCTTCAAAGATGATGGAGAAACCTCAACTGCCAACCTCCAGATCTCCCATCCCCAGCCAGCTGAGAGTCAGTGCCATGGATGGGCAGAGAGCACACAGTAGCACCTGGTGTGACTGTCTCAAGAGAAGACACCCTGCCGGTAAGAGGATTCAAAGTGTCCCTGGAACACAGTGTGATGAGTTTTACAGCAATGCCCAAGCACGAGCAGGACCGCTTGGGTGCAGTGGAAGAGGTATTTCATTGCACCCAAGTGCCACAGAGCTGCAAATTCTTCATGCACACAAGGAGAAAAAAACATCTGTTCTTTTTACTCGTGAGACTAGCTTAAGGATTAAATGGGATAAATATTTTGAACGGATGTTTTGGCTTAGAAATGATTTTGGATTCTAGTCTAATAATCTGTTTTTAATAGAAAGATATTTCCCACAAATCTTTGTATAAAATCAACTTGAGCTAGATAGAAGCACCATGTTGGCCTTGAGGCTTAGGGCCACCCACCTGTGACCCCCCCCCCCACATCTGTGAAGGCCTACACCCTTCACCACGTGAACAAGTAAGGCTAATGCTAAAATAAGTCTTCCTACGACCGTGGATGTTCCATAGCGAGTCATCAAAAAGGAAACTGTATGAACTCCCTCCCCTCGGCCTTCCCCTCCCACCAGATCCCCCCCCCCGGGAGAGGACACGGGAGCCTCTTCAGTGTATGTAGATCTTGTCAGAGATGGCTCCCGGGAAGTGGGTCATGATCTGCATTCGCAGCCACCAGTAGTAGTCCATGGGGTGGTAGCGGGTGTAGGGGGTGGTGGCCGTCAGGGCGTGCGTGACAGCGTCGATGACGGAGGATGTGTCTGTGGAGCCGCTGTTGCAGTAGGTCTCCATCTTGGCGATCTTCTCGTCGAAGTACTTCTTGCCATAGTCTTTGCGGACCACCTCGGGAAGCTCGTCCCACATCTTCTTGGCGATGGCCTGGATACGCTCAGGGCTATACAGACTGGTGGCGGCGATGAAATTGCCGGGCTCCACCACACTGACCTTCACGCCCAAAGGGTGCATCTCGTATCGCAGGCAGTCAGAGAAAGCCTCTACCCCGAACTTGGTGATGCAGTATGGCGAGCGGGCTGGGTTGGCCATGCGGCCCAGCATGCTGCTGATATTAACGACACGGCCTATAGAAGAAGACAGCAAACATCTGCTCAGGGGGCATTGCCCTGTGATATGGTGGCTCGGCGGAGACAGCTTTAGAACCATCCGGAGGCAGGTTGGACTTTAGGTGGCATTGTGGGACTCAGGCACAGAGAAAATGGTGCCCTCAAAAGCATTCCATCACAGGCCCAGCCTGGGAATGCAGGGGCCCGTTACAACTCCCTGTAGGGTTGGGGTAGATCCCTCTCAGCCCAGGCTGACCTGGGTCAGCTTGCCTAAGGAGTGCCCCCAGGAACACCCGCCCCCCAGTGTGAAGTCGCTGAAAGGTTGAGCTTCCTCATAGACTACAGACTGAACCCCCGTTCATGCCTCTGCTGCCAAGACCTTGGGACAGATCTGGGGATCTGGTACCTTTTGTCACAAGGGCTTGTTGTTCCATGGAAAAAAAGTCAGATCTTATGACTTTATAGATGGTTTTGCTCACATTTGGCTATTTTATATGATTTGGGAATTGTGTCTCTTCTTCAAGTTTCTAGTCTTGTTTGAACTGAATAACACAACGTCTCATTTTTAAGCTACGGAACATGCTAATATTTGTCTAGCATTACACAGTGATGGAACGGCATGTAGACACCGCTGGTGCACATGTGCTGACTTCTCCAGAGCTGGTTCTTAGAGGACAAGCCTCTACGATGCAGATGCATAAGCCCGGAGTGCACAGACCACTGAACTACCTTGCTTGTCTGTTTTTGAGACAGGGTCTCATCATGTATCCCAGGCTGACTTTAACCTCCAGGTCTTCCTGCCTCGGTTGCCCGAGTGCTGGGTTTACAGATGTCCCTACCACCTCAGCTCATCTGCTCCACTTCTGAAAGCTACAGACCCCTCTCCCCTGCCTGGCCACTCTGTCAATCACCATTCCCAAGCCGAGCCTGGTTCTGAGATGCCAGAGTTCAGCCTCGCTGTTATGGATGATAACTCTGGCAGGTCTGGGGTTTCCATTCTGAACAGGAATGAAAAGGTTGGACAGGTTCAGGGAGGGGTGGGCAGGAAGACTCTCTCTTCCCAACTCACCTTTGGCTCTCCGGAGAAGGGGGAGGAAGGATTTTGTTGTGCGTACTGTGCCCCAGAGGTTCACTTCTGCCACCTCCTTATACGTCTCCATGCTGGTGAACTCCACCTCACCAAATGTTGAGATGCCTGCATTGTTAACCAGGCCCCACATTCCTGCACACAAGCGGACACAACCTGTCACCATACGGACTCAAATGCAAACACTAGTCTGCCACACTCTACTCTGAGATCTTTCTTCCATGACTCCCAGCCTCTCGTCCAAGGCTTTCAGGAAACATTTCTAGAGTTGGCCATCTCTAGAGTGAAAGGGGGGGAGGGAGAGAGAAAGAGAGAGAGAGAGAGAGAGAGAGAGAGAGAGAGAGAGCCAACACCCTGACTGAATAGACTGTCCCTCTGGTAGAATGTCCAGGCTTCATGTTACTGCTAACTGAATCAATTCTCAGCCCTTCTTGACTGAGCCTCGTAGAGTCTCCGCCTGTGTCCCACTCCACTCCAGCTCTCTATGGTTGTCATAACCTTGACACATATCTGGGAAGGGCTCATAGTAATTAAAAAGATGCCTCCATCAGATCGGCTTGTAAGCAATCTGTAGGGCGTTTTCTTGATTTTGAGGGGCCCAGCCCACTGTGGGTGCTCCAATGCCTTCTTGCCAGGTGGTGTGGAAGAAAGCAATTGAGCAACCCATGTAGGGCAAACCAGGCGGTGGCTCTCCTCCACAGCCTCTGCTTCTGTGTTGCCTCTAGGCCCTTGCTTTGAGCGTCTGCCCTGAGTTCCTTCAGCGACGAACTATGACGTGGAAGTTTATACGCCAAATAAACCCTCTCCCAATGTGTTTGTGGTCATGGTGTCTTTCACAGCAATCAAAAAGTGAAGGCGACAGGCATCTCTCTCCTCCACATGACCTCAAGTCTACACCCTGCACCTATTCATCCAACTCAGCTGTTGCTCGAGGGCCCCTCTTGCCAGCAGTCAAGGAAACCTCAGGAATTTTCCAGGCCAAGCTCATAGAAGGGTGCACAACTTCAAGGTCACCTATTAAGTTATGGGCTCTGCTGCCAAGCCTTGTTCATGGTCAGGCGCCGCCCCGCTCCACCTTGGGACTGTTAACAATTCTCTATTCTCTCAAGCTCCTCCTCCGAGCTGTTTGCTGGTGGTCACACATTAAGGGACCTCGGCTCAGGATTCTTTCGGCCAGTGTGTCTCTTCTTGCCCCCTCCTGAGACTGTGCGGTGATTCAGGCTACGAGAAGATGCCTGTTCTCTCAGCATGCTCCAGCTGACTAGTCTATACGAGAGCAGCTAAGGGACAGCTGGCTTTTGTAGACTCAGACGATGTTGGTTCTGCAAAGTTCCTGGAGTTTATTTTGTCTGTTAACTATTTTTGCAGCAAGGCAAGGGAAACCAAAGCTGTCAAGGGAAAAGACAGATTTAAGTCTCATCATTAAGTCGGAGGCAGAGTTGAACCTGAGCCAAGGGAACACAGCCTGTTTTCCAGGGCTCCTTTCGAGTTCAGTTTTTTGGGTGTAAGAAGTGGATGGGTCAGACCCCAGGGCAGAATGGGGTCCTGCCTCTTTGGTGTGGAGATCCTCAGCATTTGGTCTCCTTATGGCTTAATCTCCTGCCACTAAAAGCTCTGTGTTCCTTGCAGGGGCTGCAGCAGACATGGTGCCTGCTCGCAGCCTGTGAGAATAAGCCCCGGACTCACTCTCCCAGTGCATCATGGGAATGAATGTGTAAATGACAGAGTAATTGGTCTCATGTTGCTTTCCTTCCGTCTTGCCCAAATTAAAGCTTGGTCAGCTGACCTCTGGTGCCTTCTCCTTCAATTACGGGGAATTAAGGGCATTTATTAAGGAGAGGAAATTGCTGGTTAACTAAGTGTCCAAAGAGCTCCCTCTTGCACCAGCTGCCTGCGGGGACTTCCTGCCCTCAGCTCTCAGGCTGAAATTGGGACCTTGAGGCACAACCCACACAATCCGAGGCACCCCAGAAATCCACAGCTTCCAGGTCTGTCTTTTGACTTCCCCGAGACTTCTCTCCTGGAGTCCAAAACCTCTCCAGAGGCTAGGCTAACCTATGGCCCCTACCCATGCCTCCCTGCCCACAGCTGGCAGGCTTTTCTTCCTTTAGGTACTTCTCCTTTGCCCCAGAAATCGCCCTTCAACTCTGTCTCTATTAGGAATTCAAGACGTGCGTGTTGGGTGGTGGATGCCTACAAACACTGTGTTTTCATATCCCAAAGAGTCTTCTTAACCATGCCACCTGATCTCCTTCCTTCTGCAGCCAGACTTCTGAGAACATCCTATCCTCTCTATCCGGTCACACCGCTCTGGACTCCAACCTCCATCGCCTATTCACCGGGTTCTCCTAGGGCCTCAGAGAGGCCACCAACTAAACCCCGCCTCTGTCTCTATTCTCAGACACCATCTCAGGCCCTGGACACCAGCTTTCCCCTGGGTTTAGTGACACGGGGCATCCCAGCTCTTTTCCTCTACCAGCCTTCACCAGTCGCAGGCACACCCAGTGTCTTACGCTCTGCCTGACTCTCCTGAATGCTGGCACAGTCTCCTCATCTACTGGATGTTTATAGACCCTTCCAGCGGCTTTGTGTTTGATTCAGATGGGACGGTATCACACGACCTGAAATGCATGCGTGCATGCTCCACCTGAAAATAAAACAATTCTATCTGGCACTACTGTCCAATAAAGATGAATTAAACTTGACGTGTGAAAGTCTACTGTGTGATAGAGCTGGTGACTAGGCAGAGAGCAGGTAGCCTCAGAGCTCTCTAGAGTCCTTACCTAAGCCAAAGCTCCAACAGTGCCCCTGCTAGTCCAGAAGGCAGCTGCTCCCCCAGAAGGGTCTCACCATTACCTCCATGTCCAGACAACTCCCATGGACCCCTAAAAGGAACAGCTCCAGAGCTCCGCCTTACCGTCTCTTCTATCTGCGCTGCATGGTCCTAACTCACCCTGAGCGCAGCTAACGCGCTGAGTCTGTCCTGTTAGCTAGCTCCTCTAGCTCCTTCACTTCTCCCATCCGATGTGTCAGCCAGGGCTGGGAAGATGCCTGGTGGTTAGAATGTCAGCCACCAGGTCCTAGAGAGGCACTTGATGATGTCACCTGATCCTCATAGCTAAGTCACACAGTAGATGCTAAATCAGCCCATAGCTGAATGAGGTAACTGAAGCTCGGTGTCACCAGGACCAGGCGAGGAAGATGAGATTTGGACCTAGACGGGGGACGAGCCTTCAAGTTCAGCCCCATATAGCTGCTGGTTTCCTTTGCTGGGGCAGAGAGTCAATTCTGTTTCCTTCTGCATTAACTTAGGTCCTGGCTGACCTCTCTGCTGTGCTGTTGGTGAAGACCCAGGTCTCCCCACCTCAATCTGTATCTACCATCTCTACAGGGCCTGCAGCCAGGCTAGTCCTCCTCGGGTCCTGTAGCTCTCAATCTGTGGGTAGCACACAAGGCCCTTGTAGACTTCTTCCCACCCCTACACATTCTGCCTCCATCAGTATGAACAGCTCGGTTGCTCCTCTGGGAAGTCTGCCCCTTGTCACCACAGGGGTGAAGTCTAGGCTAAAGCCTAGAAGTACTTTACCACTTCACAGACGAGCAAGTTGAGGCCCACACAGGACCTGGTTGACATCCAAGTCACATTTCTCTGGAAAGGTGGAGACCCGGGAAAATCCAGTCCTCCCCCTCTGATACCAAGAGACAGGCCTGGTGTAAAGAATTCCCTGCCCACGGCATCAAGCCCCTGGGTTGTTTAACCGTTCTTTGAAGGTTTGTCCTGGAGTCACTAGGTTGGTGTCTAGTTCCAAGATCCTCCTGACAGATCAGAGCCCTCCAGGCACCAAGCATAGTCCCAGCCAAACAGCAAGGACTCAGTAAATGCTTACTCAGTGGTCAGTAATGACTTCGGGGTCAGGCCACACCCACAGCCCGTCAACACCTGTGTGTTGCTTTCCTGGAGTTGGGAGGGCTGTTCACAGGCACCACATGTCCATCCCTCTGAGTCCTACAAAGGTGGGGCTAGTGGAAGGTAGCTGGACACTCTAAGCAGAGCGTCCTTCACCTCAGCACCTCAGGTGACTTCTCAGACTTCGGTAGTGACCGTCCCATGGAGCCAGAGTGAAAACCAATTTCAAAATGTGCCCAAGATGGGAGTACACCAGTCCTTGTGTTAAACGTGCTGAGATGTTCTGGGAGGGCGCCACCTGGAGGTCAAAGCCAGCACTGCATGTGGGAGCTTTTGCTGATTTACCAGGAAAAGGACCACAGGGCTCAAGGGGGACAGCAGTGGGAGGTGGGGTGCATAACTGGCAGGGAAGAGGTAGATGGGGAGGATGGGAGATACTGGGGGTGGGGGATCCGGCATGCAAATGTTATCTGACAGTTTTATTTTCTGGTTTTGAACCCAAAAGTTCCAAATCATTTCCCCCAAACTGCATTATGGTTACGGTGGGTCATGGCGATGGGCAGAGCAGAGGCTGTGGGTCCCAGCTGTGCCCCATTCCTGTCAAGCCCCACGAGCTGTGATTCCAGACTGCCTGGTGCTGTGGCCTTCCCCCTTCCTAGTCTGTGAAGGCAGCACCCTAGCTGCCCAGGTAGGCTGTGGGGACAAAGGGTGACAGGCTATGTGGCTGGCAATCATCCCACTGGGGCCCAGCCTGCCTTTTCTAAATGGGCCAGGGACGCCAACTATCGCTGTTAATCATTAAACAGTGAGTCTGTAACACACTGGGTGCTCCTGGAGAACACAGGGCCCCAGAATGGCCTCTAGGAGGGGGTGGGGTGGCAGCACCGAGCTGCCGAGGTGACCCCAGTGACAGACTCCCGAACGGACAGTCTCTCCCATGGCTAGCCATGTGGCGCAAGCTCTTCTCAGAGATGGCAGCGTTTTACAGCCTGGCGATTTCGGTAAGCTACACAGCACAGGTGCAGGTCCCCCGGCCCCCTTCACTGGGCCCCACCCAGAAGCTATGCAGCAGGGAGTTGACTGAGGCACCCCCCTTTTCCCTGGCCTGCCAAAGGGCTCTAAAATAACAGCGCAAACTGATTCTTCCACAGGGCCTACTGTGTGGCCTAGCTCCATGCTTTCGGGGTCCACTTGAATGGTATCCCACCCCCTCTGAGGTGGAGACCCCTCACACTATGGTCCTCCACCCAGGCTGAACTCAGGCAGCTCTGCAGCATTCGATCCTTGACCCCCTTGCTCTCCACACTTTCTCCTTTGAGGCACTCCATCCAACCTCTGTGACATCCATATCTCTCCTCCCTGGGTCCTAACTGCTTGTATCCCCTCTGGACACTCCTCCAGGGTGTTTCACGGGCACTTCCATGACTTCTTACCCGTCCCTCATCTTGCTCCTGCCGTTGAGGACACCAACTATGTAGGACAGACATCTCTTGCCTCTTTTTCATCTCCATATCCAAATCAACTCTGCCAACTTTGTTCTCTCAGTGCCATTAGCGAGTGCCAGTACCACCAGCGAGCTCCAGTACCACTAGCGAGCGCCAAGTACCACCAGCGAGCGCCAGTACCACCAGCGAGCGCCAGTACCACC